CTAAAGTTCTCACCCTGCATGCACCAAGAGCCCATATGGTTGCTGGTTCCTATCCCAGTGGCCCCACTTCCCAACCAGCTCCCTGCTTGTGGCCTGGGGAAAGCAGTTGAGGATGGCCCAAAGCCTGGGGACCCTGTACCCTTGTGGGAGACCCAAAAGAGGCTCCAGGCTCCTGGCTTTGAATTGGCACAGTTCCAGTCATTGCAGCTACCTGGGAAGTGAATCAATGGATGGAAGGTTTTCTTCTCTGTCTCTCCTCCTCTCTCTAAATATCTGAGTTCCCAATAAAAATAAAATAATTTAAAAAATAATAAATTTTAATACATGTTTCATATGCAACTGATCAATATATCCTAGCACTCACAACTAAACACAGGAGCTCCTACTGTTGTTTGTTTTGCTCATCTCACTCCAAACACCAGCTTTTTTGTTGTTCGTGCAACTGACATGCACATTATCGCTAGGAGACTTTCAGCTGCCCAGCCTTCATATTCACAAGGTCCATTCTTTCATCATCTTTGAATATTTGCTAGGATATCATCCTTTCAACCAAAGTATTTAAAATCGCAGCTCCTCATCCTTCAACTCGTCTATTTGATCCTGGATATATTTTTCCCTTCTGGAACTTATCACACATTTCTAACACACTATGAGTATTGAGAATTCGTACATTGCAATCTCCACACACTAGAATGTAATTTTTAAAAATGGAACAATAGCCTTCTCGCTTAACAAGGTATCTGCAGTTACTAGAAGAGTGGGAAGCACACACTAAGTGTTCAACAAATATTTGTGGAACCGATTATTAACAGAAATTACATAACTATACAAAAGTACCACAAAAACTTGGTGGAAACACAGAAAAAGGTAAGATTATACGTGCAAAAAATTTTGAAATCCTTGTATTCTTTTTGTAATATGCATTTCTAATGAATTTTTGAAGTACCTTTGTAGAAACGCTGTGTTTAAAAAGATAGATGGGCCTGGTGGCATTACCTAGAGGCTAAAAGTCCCCGCCTTGAATGTGCCCAGGGATCCCATATGGGCGCCGGTTCTAATCCTGGCAGCTCCACTTCCCATCCAGCTCCCTGCTTGCGGCCTGGGAAAGCAGTAGAGGATGGCCCAAAGTTTTGGGACCCTGCACCCGCGTGGGAGACCTGGAAGAGGTTCCTGGTTCTTGGCTTTGGATTGGCACAGCACTGGTCATTGTGGTCACCTGGGGAGTGCATCATCAGACAGAAGATCTTCCTCTCTGTCTCTCCTCCTCTCTGTATATCTGACTTTGTAATAAAAATAAGTTAAAAAAAAATCTAAAAAAAAAAAAAAAAAGAAGAAGAAGATAGATTTGGGCCCGGCACAGTAACCTAGTAGCTAAAGTCCTCGGCTCACATGCACTGGGATCCCATACGGGCACCGGTTCTACTTCTGGCAGCCCTGCTTCCCATCCAGCTCTGTGACTGTGGCCTGGGAAAGCAGTGGAGGACGGCCCAAAGCCTTGGGATCCTGCACCAGCATAGAAGAATTGGAAGAGCCTCCTGGCTCCTGGAGCCTGGTTCCTGGCTTTGGATTGGCTCAGCTCCAGTCATTGTGGCTGCTTGGGGAGTGAATTATCAGACAGAAGATCTTCCTCTCTGTGTCTCCTCCTTTCTGTATATCTGACTTTCTAATAAAAATAGAATAATTCTTAAAAAAAAAAAAAGGATTGATTTTAAAACCTAAAAAAAATAGAGAGGGGAGGCACACATAAGCCTTATGAGAAATTAACAAAGGGTTAAAAAATTAATAAATCTATGATAAATTAAAGTACATTATATTTAGTAAGTGCTCATACATGTTCAGTATTGTTACAAAAATTTCATGTGTTTTTTTTTTCATTCTTAGCCAATCACGAGGTAGATTGCCTCTATTTTTAGAAATAAGAAAAGCAAACATCAGGCCACATACACAGAAATCTCTGGATCCAGAACTCAGCATCATACCTCTGACTCCAGAACCTATACTTAAAACACCCATAGGTTTTCACATTGAGAAAACAAGCAATTTTATTTCACGATGCGTGAACTTGGAGCAAAGAGACAGTTTCCAGAAAACTACAGATGTTGCAGAAAATTTGAACAGACCTCTACTGTTAGAGAAACTGAATCAGTAGTAAAGAATCTACCAACAAAACAGACCAACACACAACCCTCAGACACATTCTATGAAATCAACAGACTAGAAAATGAAAAGCTCAGAAACATATTCTACAAGATTGTTTAGTAATCCAACATTAAAATTGAGCCAGGAAAACAGATGATAGGAACAAACACTTTTCTTCACTGATGTATAAATTCTATTAAATTACTAGCTAATTAATAATATATCCATGTATAGCTATCCCTTTATGTCATTGAGCATTTAATAGCTAGTCTCAACAAGAAGTTATTATTACTTATAGTCAAAATACTATATACTAGGCTTACATATTCATCCTGCATATAAAAGCTTCATCTAAGTCACTCAGAAATGCTATTTTTCTTTGAGTTCAGTTTTATTACTACAGGTATTAGAGGTGAATTTAAATCAGACTCACTGCACTTTTACAATAGATACAATAATCAAAAGACAACCTGATAACCAATTCAGACTTTGGGCATCTTTTTTCATTCTTGGTACTTACGAAAGAAGCAAAGAATATTCAAGTTGCAAAGAAGGTATGAAGAAATCTGATATACGCTTATACAGAAACAATTGTGGATGGTTCTTAACTTACAGGTCGTTATTCAAGTATTCATTTGTAATTGTAAATGCCATAAAAGTTTCCACGGAAATGTTACACATATAAACCAGAGACTCTTAACGCTGCCAAAGCAGACCTTGAATTTGATACTATTAATCCTGTTTTTTTTTAAGTAATCTATACCAAAAGAGGTGGACAATTAAGGAAATATAAAAATACTTGCTACAAAATCTGGAATTTGAATACAGTTTTCAGTATTTCAAGACAACAATAATTTTAAGCGTGCCATTTGCAATGATAAGATTTATAAGTTAAGCCACAAAAACAAAGTGGTTGAAACATGTAGACAGCAACAATCAATAGGGAAGAGTTAGTGTTGTTGAGGTCATCATCAAGAATCCAAAAGTTACTATGTTAAAAGGGTTTTTTTTTTTTTAAGTAAGTAATTCAAGGCTAGGTTTTTTTTTTTTTTTTTTTCCTTTTAAAGAGAATAGGAAAGTCTATCGACATTTCTGGTGGGTTCTTAAAGAATGATTCTTCAGTATCACTGAATTCGTACAACTTACGACTATTTTTTTCTGTGATGGACAAACTTGCTAAGCACAAGTTGTTTGGGACCTTTCCATTACAGTGAATCTTGCGTGCGTGTGTGTGTGTTTCATATAATTGACATATATTTATGATGGACAACGTGATAGCCCAACATATGTACAAAATGCATGATGATAAGGACAGAATAATTAGCATTTCCATACCCTTATCATTTCTCTGTGTTTGGAACAGTCAAATTCCTCTGTTCTATTTCTTCATAAAATGTTAGTGAATTGTAAGCTGTGGTCACGCTATTATGCTGCAGAACACTAGAACTTATCCCTCCTATGTAACTGTATTTTAGCATCTGGTTCCAACCTCTCTCTTCTCTTCTCCTTACCCTTCACAGTATTTAACAATAACTCCATCCTCTCCTTTGAAATTAATTCTTTCAGCTTCAATATATAAGTAAGAACATGCAGTGTTTATCTTCCACATCTGATATATTTCACTTTTGTAAAATGACCTCTACTTCTTTCCATCCATGTTGTCACAACTGACAGAACTTTCATGGATAAATAATATCCTATTGTGTATATACACTACATTTTCTTTAACCATTTGTTCACTGATGAACAGTGGCATTGGTTCCATACTTTGGTTAGTGTGAATAGTGTTATGAAATTAATATGAAAATTCAATGCCCTTTGATGTGCTGATTTAATTTCTTGTATATAAACAAAAGGTGAAATCTAATTCTTTACATTTAAAATTTATAGGGGCAGGCACAGAGGTTAAAGCCTCCACCTGAGGCACTGGTATCCCATACAGACAGTGGTCTGTGTCCCAGGTGCTCCATTTCTCATCCAGATCCCTATTATTATAACTAGGAAAAGCAGCACAAGATGGCCAAGTCCTTGGGACCCTGCACCCACATGAAAGTCCTGGTTCCTGGCTTCATCCTGGCCCAATCCCAGCCATTGAAACCCTCTGTGGAGTCAAACAGCGCATGGAAGATCTTTTCGTATCTGTCTCTCCCCATCTTTGTAAATTTGACTTTCAAATAAATAAATCAACCTTTAAAAAGAAATCTGTAAATCTGCCAAGAACACTGCATGATACCTTTTCTGTACTGGATATGATACAACATTCAAGAAGTCTGAATTTTATTTTCTTGTCACATAAGATTTTTATATATAATTCTATAATTTTCTTTCATTTTATTTTATAAAATATCTTCAATTTTAAAGAATATTTCCTTTAAGATAAGATTTAGAAGCTGCATTTATATAGAAAGTCATCCATAGCACCCAAATCTCCTCCATCTTTTCTAGCTGGCATGATCCACTTCTGGATCTTCTGTTGAGGAGAGCCCTTTTCCTGTGTACTTTCCTATTTTCTCCTCTAATTAAACTTGAGACTATGCAAATGTTTTTCACACTAAAATAAGCAGTTTTATCTCAGTTGGGAAGGAGAAGCATTTAGCTCATCACTCCAATGGAACAGAATGTTCATATATCATTACCCCTAGGCCAGATGTATTTCATAAGGGCAATATATAGAAAACAAATAAAATGACAAATTTCCTTTAAAGTTGAACACACAAAGTGATCTAGAAAGCTTTGTCAGCAATTACAAATACGGAGTGTTATTTCTCAATCTACAGAAGTTACTTCTTGAATCTCAGAATTGCAATTTTCTGGGATAATAGATAATTAACAAACAAACAAACAAAGAGCATTGTACATACCCTGAGTGGCTGTTGGAGGTAGTTTGAGGGTATTGTCTAGCTTCTCCCAAAGGTAAGTTGGCCGAGGAATGCCTTCCTCTGAGTTACATAGCAGGACGACATCACTCCCGATATCCTGGGATCCTTGGATCTGGCAGTGGGGGGCAGAAGGAGGAACTGCAACAGGAAAAGTAAGTAACAAAGAACATATTTACTGTGAGTTACTGGATGGTGATTGAGACATCAATAGTAGATGGAAGGGCCTGGCCAGCTCAGTTGGTAGAGCATGAGACTCTTAATGGTAGATGGCACTGTGTTTAGAATATATGCCATTAAACCAATCCAGGGGGGAAGGCAGAAGACACCGATACATAATGCTTGGGCACAGGTGCAGACTAGCAATGACAACTGACAGGGACCACATGTGTCAAGAGTGGTTTCCTGATTGGATTATTGTATTCCTAGGGTGTGTCATGTTCTTAGTTCCACTCTACTCCCTTTAATTCCTAAAAGTTCCATGTATTACATGTTGCCTTTAGAAACAGTGCTAATGAGGTCACATCCAGAAATTTCAAGGAATAACATTCATTTTACTGGCTGTTCTTTGACTAAGACCACCTTAGCAGTATCCTTTTTATTCTTCCAAACAAAAATCAAGATCCAAAACACAAACAGGATCCATTTTGTGCCAACATTTGCTCTATGGTAGGGAAAGTAAGGTCACTATATGAGTAAGGGGGGAGGGTAGGAGAGAGTTGACTGTAATGGAGTGGACATTTCACAATCATTAAGACAGATAAGAACATAAAAAACACAGAACGAAAAGTTCTCAAAAGTACACAAAAGAAAGAAACTGGTAATTTTTAGAATAGTGAACACTGTATAGAAAAAGCAAAAAGCAAAAAAAAAAAAAGTCAGGGAACCTAACTGCTAATGGAGTGAGATCATCTCCTTGATTTACTACCTTTGACTTGACAGCCATTAAGTAATTTTTTTGGAGTTAGAATTAAATTCCTAACACAAAGTGAAGGCTTTTGAAATTTACCTCTAAAATTTTTTTATAACCTAGTGGGTCAGTTACCTTACGCATACAAGCATAAGAATAAAATTTCAGTCTATTAGTACTAACTCAGAGTATTCAAATTTTAATTACTCAAGGCTTCATGTTTTCATTTGGCTTTCTGACTCTCCTTGTGCCTTCAACACTTTTATGATGAGCTTCTGCTCCTCAATAAGGAAATCCCACTTGATCCTGTCATGGACACACTTGACACACATGGAGCCGCCCTAGGACCTGCTGACATGTTTCTTCCTCTTGAACAACGTCAACAGAATTTTAAGTCTCACAGCATAAATCTCTCACAGTTGGCCTGGGCATATGCTACATGCAAATCTGGGTGTCTTCCCAACCTTCTTAGTATAAAGGTAGATGATTCTATTCCCAGGAGTCTGGGACAAGCTGATATGGTTGGAGGCTGTATTATAGGAAAGCTTAACACTGACCATACTCACCACTCTTTTATCAGCTCAAGAAGGTAGCCCTAAGAGGTCTGATCTCCTGCAACCATCCAGATGGTGAACAATTGTTCATGGTAGATTTTAAAATTTACACAATTTTCAATATTCTGCAATGAGTAAGATTTTAACAACAGAAATCCCTAAACTTATCCTTATATTTTGTCCTCTAAAACTATGGTCAAAAATGGCATAGAGGATTATACCATATTCTCAGTCAAAAAAATGCCAAAGTCTGTATCTTCAAGTGGCTCAACAAGGAAGCAGAACACAAGGTGCAGAGCTTGACGGGGGATGTGGAGGCAGAGAGGCAGAAGACCATCACCAGCAGCCTTCTCTGAGTACTTCCTCCATTTTCTCACATGAAGTGAGTTTAGCCACCTCTCCCACAAGTAGTGTTTGATATGGAAGATGGCAGAACTGAGAAACAAAACAGGCTGAGAATTGATCATTTACAGAAACAATCAAGAACTGTGATGATCTTAGTGATATGCTGCATAAGACATGAAGTGACGGTATTGTTCTTTCATGTGCTGAAACCTTTGCTTCATATTTGCAATAAGTGATTCTCTCTTTACTTTGCTCTAGCTAAATTCTGTTCTGCAAAAGTTAAAAAAAAAAAACTGGAAGGCTACTTTTATACCACTTTCCTACAGTTTCAGAAAATACCATTTAACAAGGAATTTTTAACACTCCCCTGACACAAAGAAAGAAGAAACAAAAGCAAAGTGAGTTTACAAGAAAAGACACAAGTAAGTATGTTTCAGAGTAGAGGCCCAGGTACTTTGTCACTCACCTAACACCGTGAGACCAGTGACCCCAATGTTCCTGCCTCCTCTGTCTGGAAGGTTGTTGACCAAACACTGGTAAGTGCCAGTATCTGAGAGCTGAGTGTTGTTAATGAAGATAGAGACATTGGTGGCTGGCATGGTGCCTGTGAATCCCACCCTACCATGGAACCGAGGGGTACCATCAAACATCTGTCCACCCTGATACAGAATGACCTGCAAAAATTTAAAAAAAAAGCATAGTAAATAAATTTCCATTGGAATGTCTCTTCAACTTAGAACAACTGTGTGGTAGACTGCATCAGATGATACTGAAAAATTGCTGTGGGATTTCATTGCTATTTTGAACTTTTGCTATAGCAGCTATCCACAGATACCAGAGTTTTCAATTCTTACATTTATAATTAAAATAGCACTTTTTCTTTACCTTACATACCATAATATAGATCATAATATAAATGTATTTAATGCCATCAATATTTTTACCACTTCAAAAAATTTCAGTATATTTTAAGAATATAAGCCATTTCTGTTCTCATGCTTATTTACTATATTATAAATTGATGTAGACCATATTGGTGACCTTATGTCAATTTTTACTGTTAGTTAAGTTTAGGTAACTCCCCATAGCAGAGAACTCAGAAAGGTACAGAAAAAAGCCACACAATTTTCAACTAAGGAGTGATTCTAATCAACATCTACTTGTAAATGTTTGGAGAACTAAAGTTCTTTCTCTACTTCTTTTGCTCCAATATTGATTCCTAAAATGACAATGTTGAACAAAATGATCTTGAAGGCACAGTGCAACCAAAACGCCTCATGCTTTGTAAAAAAAAAACAAACAAACAAAAAAAAAAACTTCTACTGGAATTCGTTTCAAAACATGTAATTCACTATATGTTTTTAGCTAATGATACGATTACTGAAGCAGAAAACCTTCACAAGATAAATAGGGTATCTTTATAAATAAAAGTATCCATTATTATAATGCACCAATTTTCTTAGCATTATTTTCTGCAATGGGTACTAAAAGTCATGAGTCTCCTCTCTGCAATTGAGACAGATTATTGGAGAGTAGCTTTTGTTTTCATGGACATTCTTGTGTGTGCACAAATTTATATAGGATTGGCTAGTGTACCTATTTTTTAATACTGTGAAATGAAGTACTACCTAATATTAATTTCTTTCTTACTATTATCACTATCTTTAAAAAACACACTATCATGATGCTAGTGTCAGTTTCTATACTTTGCTTTTCTTGTAACCAATGTTTTTGACAGTACAATTTTTAGAAGGATTCCCTTAACTTTTGCCGTATTTTCTTTTAAGATCATAGCCTCTTATGCTAGTTATTTAAGAGCAGGTAAAGATTGGACATAAAGCCTCACAGGCTCACCAAAAATGACACCATGTTCTAGAAATCAGATGTCCATTCAGTATGCTTCTTTATATGTCTCTTGCTAAAAAGATTAGTATTCCAGAGGTAGAACAGAACAAAAATATACCTGTTCGGGCTGGTTAGCATTGGAGAGAGGAATGACCATCCAAATGACATTAAGATTAAGGAGAGCTGCATTGGTGGTAAAAGTGCAAGGCAGGATTGCAGTCTGACCCCGAGCCACCTGGATACTCCCAGGGCTCTCGGACACTTCCAGAGAGATTGCGACACCTACAAAAGAAGGAACACGAGGGTTACATGCTCCACTTTCCTGGCAGTCCAAAGCCCCTCAGAAAGGTTTGTGTGTTGTGGTTGGTCACTTTACTATGGATAATGTAAACAGTTGACATGACAGTCTTACTAAACAACTGCTCATGAGTCAACTAAGTCAAAACCACAAAAATGGCTTACTCCTGTAGCTTTTGGAAGTGACATCCAAAACATCCTAGAAGCTACTTTCTCTACTTGGTATTTGGCTAATTCAAAAAAGAAAATGAGAGAATTCAACTGATAGGATATGAGCAAAACTTGAATTGATGATAAAAGGGGAGCAGCAAATAAAATTATTAAAAGCACCACTATACACTGCAGTATTAAGTCACTAAGTAACAATCTGACAAAATACTATGCTTCATCCATGTGCTGCAAACTAGATGTACATCATCTAGTTGATGAATACCAGAATACTTATGTTCCAGTCTGAGCTCCTACACTTCTGATCCAAATTCCAGATAAAGTGCACCATGGAGGCAGCAGGTGATAGCTCAAGTACTGTGTCTTTGGTGCCTATATAGAAGACCAGGATAAAGTCCAGGCTCCTGGCTTCAGCCTATCCTTCCTATGGCTACTGGGGGTACCTGGAGAATGAATCAGTGCCGATGAATCAAAGATCTTCCTCCTCTTTTTTTTTCTCTCCTTCTCTCTCTTTATATAAATATGAAGTGTGCATCTCTAATTCCAAATAAAAGAAAGTCTCCCAATGAAACTGTTAAATGTTTTACCTATACCTACAACGCCATGATACACTCAAACAGAATGTTGGATTGTGACTAGTGCTGAAGGATTATACTATTGTAATAATACAGGGGGAACTGGTGGGCAATTTTTGAGAATGGAGGAAGGAGAGGTGAATGAGGGGAATTCCTATGCCAACAAAACTGTATCATGGAAAATAGTAACAATAAAAATACAAAAAAGCCAAGCTACAGACTGGAAGAAAATGTTGCATATTGTACAATGAATATAGAATTTAGCCAAATATGCAAATAATTTTTACAAGTCAACATATTTAAAAGAATCTAAGTTTTAAAAGAACAGAAGGCTTTTTTAAAAATATTTTTTCTTTTCTTTTTTTCTTTTTTCTTTCTTTTTTTTTTTTTTTACTTTAAAGAGAAAGAGAAATAAAGGGAGAGGGAGAGAGATCTTCCACCCATTAGATCACTCTTCAGATGCCCACAGTGGCCAGAGCTAAGATACTCCAAAGTCAGGAGCCAGGAGCTTCTTCCAAGCCTCCCCATGCATGCAGGGGCCTAAGACTTTGGTCCTCTACCAGGCCATCAACAGGGAGCTTCATCAGAAATGGAGCATCCAGGACATGAACTGGGGCCTATTTGGATGCCAGGGTGGCCACAGATAGACAATTAGCTTACTATACCACTGCACTGGACCCACAAATGGTTTTAATATATACTCCAAAAAAATCTTATAATCACATAGCAATATATTCATTCTCAAAATGGAAATACATGTTAAGACCACAATAAAATATCAACATGTATCCATTGGAATGGTGATAATCAAGACAATATCAAAATTTATTGCTGATGGGAATATAAAATGATATGACTACTAGTTAAACATAAACATACCATTCAACAGCAATTCTGCTTCTTGGCAATTACTCATGTAAAATAAAAATGTATCTATGTTAAAAACCCACTTATAAATGTTCACAGCATTATTCAAACCATTCTCCATATCAGAAACAACACAAGTATTCTCTAGACAGTGAATGGGTAAATGGAAGAAGGATATCTACACAATGGAATTCTACTAATAAAATGTGTAAAACTATTGGACACAATTTAGAGCACGTATACACTTTCCAGAGACGTGTTGCATAGTGAGAGAAACCTCATGTGAACACTATGGAACACATGGTTCCACATGGATGAAATATCTAGAAAACACAAATTAGTAGAGACATGAAGTAGATGAATAGCTGTCCAGGAATCTAAGAGGAAAGCAACATCAATGGTACTTTCAAGAATGATGAATTCTAGATGTAGATGGTTATGATGGCTATAATAGTGGAAGTCATTGAATTCTACAGTTTGCATGGGCATATCTTGTGAACTATAAGCTATACCTTAAACAATGCTCCCTCCCTCCCTCTCTACCTCCCACACATCTCTCCACCTGTCAAATAAAAAACATAAATTAATAAAACTCTATAATGAGACAAAATGACATACAAACTGAGAATGAAAGGGAAAGATGTGGACTGGGAAAACAGTTAAAAGAGGCTGAGCACAAGCCAAGCAACTGTGTGGGAAGCACGGAGCCTGGCAGGCAGGACAGTGCTGCTGCAAACAGCAGGACTCTAGTGTCAGCAAAAGCTGCCATGAGTCAACTGCACTTACTTCACATTTGCATGTGATGCATACTGACATTCCAAGTTTTAAGATTACTGTGTAAGGAATAGGCCACATGAGTTGCTTTCAACGCCTGTAAAGGTACAGTTTTGAAGCCGTGCAGATATGGTTTACAATCTGGCTTAGCCAGATATCATCTGCTTAGCCTTTTGGCTTCAAACACTTCACTTAAGCTCCCAGTCTGTTGCTTTATCTGTAAACAGGGCTAGATTCCTTTGGTGGATCATCAAAGGGCCATGGGGAGGGAGTGCCAGAGGCTGAGGATGATGACTACCACCGCTAGGGCTCACTGACCATACCACATCAACACTAAGCACTGTGTATACACTCACTTAATCCTAAAAGATACCCACTGGCAGGAATTAAAAAACAGCTCAAGAACACAGACACACATCTGGGAAGGGGTACTCTCTGGATTCAAGTCTGTGCAATTTGTTCATAGAGATAATACAGTTAACTACTTCACATAACTACAGAAATTATTCAACAAAGTTCACTGGCATTGTCATAATATGTTATGCGATCAGAAAATATAAAACTAAAACTGAGTTTTACATAAAGCCATAGATGGAAACTGGTTTATTTCCTGCCTGTATACTAAAAATCAGTTTCAGTCTGCAACCCTTTCTACAGATAAGAGCAGCTTATTTAGGGCTGGCCCCTTTTCTTTCTTTCTCGCTCTCTTTTTATTTTTGATTACTTTTACATTGATTAAGGTGATAAAGGTCAAGGGCTACAGGAAGGTAGATGAGATCACCATTTCCACATTCTCCTTTTTTCATTCCTGTATCTGGGGGAAGGAGGGAGGTAATAGGAGAAGCCACGCCCAGCCTCCCACCCATCCCAGGGTCCCTGATGTGAGGCATGCTCCAAGGGTCCTGCTCAAGATGTTTCAACAGTTCAACAGTTCTGAATTACTGCCCATCCTGCCACTCCAATCATGGTGAAATCTCCCCACTGGTTGTCACACACCACCTTAGGGTCTCTGACTAGATATTCCCTGCCAACACTTGGCTGGGGTAGCTGATCAACTTGTTCTCTCCTTCATCCTGTTGTGGTACCAGGTGCCCTCTGCAGAATCCAGTACACTGCAATATCCTCCATGTGCACCCAGACATGCTTTCTGCTCTCCGTCCAAGCCCCTGAGGAAGCCCAGCTCTGACACATACACCCATAGTCAGCCCATGCAACCTGCAATTCTCTCCATGGTTGGGGTTCTGAGTCCAGCAATTAATTCAGTTGGGGGGATCCCAAAAGAAACTTCATCTTTGGTGATCCAAACCTGATTCTTGTATGTGCTTTCCAACACAGGGTCCAGCACAGTCTGTCACCCTAATCAGTTTATGCACATGCTGCTGGTTGCAACTGCTGGGTCAGTTCTGCCTCCAGCTCTGTCTTCTACACAAACGAATGGGTGTTGCAACCCAGCCCAATCTTGTCCAGTACACACTTGGCCCTCACCCAAACCAGTGGGAGCTGCAGCCTAGTAGGAGCGACCCACTATAACCTCCCCCAGTTCTGCCCCCTTCCCTGGTACCCATGCTTGTCACTATGTATAGCACACTGGTCCAGTCTGCCCCACATTCCATTCAGCTCTCCTACATGTCAATGGGCACTGAAGCCTAGTTCAACCCAACCAGCCCCACTATCCATTCCATACACATGCCAGCAGGTGCCACTCTGTCTAGACATGCCTGCCCCAGTCCTGGTTCTCATGCTCACCAGAGTGGCAACCCATCAGGGAAGTGTTCACTATTTCCCTACTGAACCCACTCCCACTACCGGATCTTGTACTCTCCAGGTGGTTCTGCAGTTTAACTTGACAGAATAAGCCCTCTGTACTAGCATCTGTCAGCTGGTGCTGCGGTAAAGCCCAACCAACCCACACCCACTCTGGTTTATGCAAGCACCAGTAGTAACAATCAACTAAGCCCAGTTTTCCTCTGATCCAGCGCACATGATGCCAACAGGTATTTTAGTCCTGCCTGGCCTGGTCTAGGGCTAGCTCCTTTTATAACTGAATTATAGGCTCCTGGACCCACAGATGATTTTTATCACCATAGACTGTCCCCCTCTTAGAATTTCAACACTTCCCTCTGCCCTGCAGATTTCCTTATTGTCTTTAAAAATCCTCAAATATTTCAACTTAGACCTCCCAACTCTCTAGGAACTTACATCTCTTTGGCATTTGATATTAATCTTTTGGAAAGAACTTCTATACTCAGTCGCGTGGTAGGCTCTTTGCCCATTCAGTCTTTAACCTATTCCTTCCATCACCACTTCTTCAAATTAGTTCTCCCAAAGTTTCTCAAAGACTCCCTTGGACTGCAAATCTCATGTAATATTCATGGACTTCTACCAGTATCGAACAGAGATAATCATTGCCCTCATTCTAGAAACACTTTCCCCTTAGTTTCAGTGATGTCATTCACTTCTAGTTTTCTTCATCTCTGTATAAATACATCTTCTCAACTTCCTGTTTTGTTTCACACTTTCCTACTTGGCTACTAAATGTTGGTATTCTTCAAAGGGCTGCCTTGATTTCTTATGCTAAACTCTGTCACTATAGGATCTCACTTACCA